GAAAAATGTTAGAGGCTTATCATGGCATATTGGGAGGCTTGATAAACAAGCGGTGGGTAGCGTGACATAACGATAGCATCGAGACAACTAGCATAGCAAAGATAGTAGTGAGATCCAAGGTGACGGTCATCTTGCCTGAAATCCCGCTAGGAAGAAGATGGAATCCATGAAGTAGACGAACCAACATAGTCGAACGAATCCTCGCAATCGTAACGTAACCGGAACTATCGTGAAGAAGTACAGCCGAAAAGAAGCAAACTCAGTAAAGAAACATATCATAACCATGGCATGATGCACAATCAAGTATGATACATGTCCATTTAAATAAGGCATGGCATGGCAAGTGCAACAAACAATACTACAAGTTAAGTGGAGCTCAATATGCAACGAGTTGCATATTGAAGAAACACCACATTTAATTATTTAGTTCGCTCTCGTTAAAGCTACTCAACAATATTAAATGGTGGTTAACATGGCAAGAGGTGAAGAATAATTGAACTACCTATCTAGGCAAGTTTAAGTGAGGCCGGAAACAACAAACAACAATTCCGGTAAATCCCCACATGTCATTTAGCAATTTGATGCAAACAACAATTTTAAGCATTTTAAGTGTTGTTATCATGATGCGGATGACATATGCAAGTTATATGCAATTTTAAGAAAATGTTGACATGAGCATGTTATGAAGCATTTGTCACCGTGGCGGAACGAAAGGGGTGCCATGGCAAAGACAACGAAAATGGTGCCACAACAACATTCTGATGATCCGACAACTCATTGAGATACTGGAGTGTGTGGATGTGCGGAACATGCTAGAGATGGTGGGGTGATCCCGGTTACCGGGTTCCCACGGGTCGACGCATGGCAAACGAGGAGGACCGAGCAATGACAACTCGGACATGGTGCAAACACGAGCATCTCATACAACACACATGCATTCGTTCACGGGCGTCGTGTCGGGGTTATACCTTTGAAGCGTGCATTTTCGGAACGGATCAAGTTCGTTGAGGGAAGTAATGGTTCACATTTCAGAGAGGGACTCGACGCATCCGATGTCTCCTGGGGCGAGGTAGTGGAACTTTGCGTTTGTGCTACATGGGTCTTCGACGACGGTAGATGTACACGGCAAAGGTAGTGGTACTATGCGTCGATTGTCGTGGTACTTGGGGTCTTCGGACTCCCACCGTCATCAAGATACTCGACGCTCATGTAGTCGATCCTGACGGACTTGGTGTCCAAAGGTCATCGAGGGACTTGGCAAAAATCCTGGTCTCGAGTTCTGTAGTCGTTCACAGGGCCCAACACAGGGTCTTGGCGAAACCAGGGTGCATCTTGGCGGTCTCATCTCGGTCTTCAATCCAAAACGAAGCAAGGCAAAAGACTTGGTGCGGTGGTACTTGGCGGTCCACGGCAAAGAGGAACCATGAAGGGGTGGCTCGAGGAAGAGCACTACAGCGAGGCGGCGATGGCAGATTGGCCATGGCGCGGTGAGGTCACCAAAGACCAAGGGAGTCGGGTGCTGCGTAGGCAGAGAAGAAACACAAAGAGGGAGGAGGTCGATCAAGGTGGAAGGCTCATGGAGAGCAGCAGAAGGCGGAGCGATGCTGGATGAGGCAGGGTGAGGGTGCTGTTGGTGCGTGGTTGAGGCGGCGAGGCCACGGGAGGTCCAGCCGTGCAAGGCGCGAGGTGGCCACAGAGCAAGGGCCAGCGACAGAGGCGGTGGTGGCTGGCTGCTCGGGCGAGCTGTTGAGTGTTGGAGAACGTAGCATGCAATTTAAAAAAATCCTACACTCACGCAAGATCTATCTAGGAGATGCATAGCAACGAGGGGAAGAGTGTGACTACGGACCCTCGTAGACCGTAAGCGGAAGCGTTTGACAACGCGGTTGATGTAGTCGAACTTCTTCTAGCTCTGACCGATCAAGTACCAAACGCACGACACCTCCGAGTTCTGCACACGTTCAGCTCGATAACGTCCCTCGCCTTCTTGATCCAGCAAGACGTCAAAGTTGTAGATGAGTTCCGTCAGCACGACGGCGTGGTGACGGTGATGGTGAAGTGATCCTCGCAGGGCTTCCCCTAAGCACCACGAAGATATGACCGAGGGTGTAAACTGTGGAGGGGGCGCCACACACGGCTAGGAAATTGTCTGGACGACGCTATCATCTCGGCGTTCACTGATGGCGTCCGGGGTGTCAAGATGAAGGAAGAGCTCGCCATACACGAGGACATGTGCTCGGCTCTAGAGATGTCCAACATGGCAACCAGGTGCGCAAGGGATGAGGAAGGTCGCCTATCCCTCCCTGAGCTTCCAGAGGCCGATCCAGAAGACAAGAAGGCCAAGGCCAAGGACATGAAGCGCAAGGGTCTAGCTATGCTCGCGGCCGAACCCAAGATGAAGCACGGTTGCGACCACCCGGAGTCATCCAAAGGTAGCCGCCCATTCTGCGTCTTCCACAACGTGCATAACCACAACACCAATGACCACCAAGAGCTCAGGGCCATCCGCGACGAGCGCCTCGGTCGTCGCCCTGAGCGCAATGACCGAGGCTATGGCCGTGGAGGAGGCCAAGGTGGGGGACGCTAGGACAACCGCGACCCCCGCCAGGACTGTCGCGGTCAACCTCGTGAGGACCCTGGCAGGGCCAGCCTCGTGAGGGCCCTTGGAGGGATCAGTCTCGTGAGGACTGCCCTCAGGGCAACGCCGGTCTTCCTCCGCTGCCACCGCCACCAAGGAGGAACGAAGACCATCACCAAGATGACAGGGATGGGGGCTTCCAGGAGCCTCGTGCCACCGCTTGCATCTTAGGCGGCACTCAGGCCCGTACCTCCCATCGCATCTTCAAGCAGTTCGCTCATGAGGTGAACGCGGCCCTCCCAAGCTCGAGGCGACGCGTCCTCTCAGGTGGTCCAAGTACGCCATCACCTTCGACTCTACTGATCAGCTCAAGTGTGCAGCCACTGCCGGCGCCCTCCAGATGCCCATACTTGCCTGCCTGCGGCCCACGGTGTGGCTCCATCGACGGCCTGGTACGGACCATTCTCAGCACCAACAACACAAGACCCTCGCGAGGCGGGCGACGCCAAGACCTCCAGAAGGAGTGGCCTCCTTAGGCTGGCTCCTGAGGAGCGGAGATTTCCATGCGAGCCCTCACCTCGTGAGGTTCAGATGACGCAAGCCATGACGACCAAGGCCAGGCGGGCGCCAGCAGGCGAAGTACAACAGGTTTCCTCTTTGGTGCTAAAGAGGCAAGCGCGGGCGCAGAGTCCCGAGGAATCAACCAAAGGTTTCCATTTCAATGCTACAAGACCAAGACCATCAGGACGGCGGGACGGAGGTCATCGCCGAGCCCACCACGACATCACGGCCAGATGCTTTGCAGGCGCATACCACCTTTCGTCGGGATAAGATGTATCAGTTGTCCCCCTTTGAATTTGGCTGTTGTGGGATCCCTTCCCGCCTTCATTTTGGGGGAAGAGGACCAAGGCCACTATAAATATAGCCTAGCCACCACCATAGAAGGGAACGGACAGACGGACGGACGGAGGATCTAGACCATGCACACACTCACAAGCACAAGAGCACACCTCCTGAGGTTGTTCTTCCCCTGTACTAGTTCATCCTCAGCCCACCTCGAGGCTAATCCACCACAAAGCAGGAGTAGGATATTACACCGCAAGGTGGCCCGAACCTGGGTAAAGTGACTTGACCCGTTCTTCCTCAGTTCATCGAGCTAGGCCGTGAGATCGACGAGTTGGTAGGCCGGGGAGGTTGAGTTCTTCGCACGCGCCCCAGAGTTCGAATCTATCTTGGGTCCGCGGAGCCCCGAATCCGACAGTTTGACTCCTCCTTGACGGCACGCGGCATCGAGGGCGGTGTCAGACCACGTTCCCGGAGCAACTGCTCCATCAGCAGCTCGATCTGACGGACGGACTTCTTGTTCGTCACCATGACCTTCGAGCGGAGGTGTGGCTGCTTCTGCTTTTGTGACATCACTGGTCCTTGTTGTCGCTAGAGGAGACGATCTCCTCCTTGCGGAAGGAGCTGCGACCGAGGAGCCCGAGGGCCCTGGAGAGCGATGGCAACGGCATCAAGATCCACGGAAGATCCAGAGCCGCTACCGCCGCCTGCCGATGAGGAGAACACAACTTGGGCATGGTTTGGATGGGGAGAAGAAGAGGAGTTCGAAGAAGCGGATGGGCGCAGAGCTGTGGATGTGGACGTCGCTGGAGAACAGATTATATAGACGCGGCGAGACCAGGTGAATGGGTGGTCAGCCCGCTTCAATGCTACACAATGGTCAGAGTTGGTTTCTTGGGACAACACGCCCGTATTGAAGCGGCAACGCCTGTCTGGTGGCATGAATGCGGCGCATCCGTTGAAGAAAAAACATGGGAAAGGGTTTTGGATGGGCCAGATGTGTCAGGCGCCACGAAGCCCCCTCTGGTTTACGAGGAAACAGTCGTCCGGACCTGTTCACGGACGGATGCGGAGTTGGATGACAAAAAAATGCCCGAACCATGCGCTCGAGACGGATGCAGATGGTTTAAGGGTCAATGTTGGAGATACCAAAAGTATTTTAACTGCCTCCTAAGTTGGTGGTTAAACTCCTCGTCTTTTTTATGGCTCCGAAGCAACACATGATTCTCAGGTGACCAAAGTTACCGGCGCACCCCCGGTCTCTCCGCATTTCTCTCGGAGTGAAGTAGAGGCGTGCCAGTAGGTCCAGCGGGGTTTTTTCTGGATGGCTCACCCGCAGCAGTCCAAACCTGTTTCTCAGATGACCATTTCAAATTATACCAGTTCTGCACACAGCTGCATGAAGGAATTGGTAATCAGCCGGGTGGCACCGCCACCGTGAGATCCCAGGCTCTGGCCTTGTCGTTACAACGACCTCGCCCAGGATGCGTGGAGATGAGACGCATATAAGCGGATCACTCGCAAGACCGAGTCACGTCACACTCACGCGCGCGCAGGGACAGTGAAGGGATCCTCTGCCATGGCGAGAGCGGCGGCGCCCTTGCTCCCCTTCTTCTTCCTCCTGCTGTCGTCAACATCGCCGGCGGCCGCCCAGAAGAATCTCCTTGGCCGGACTCCCCAGATGGGGTAATGGATCTGTCACCTCTGTATTCTGTTCAGTCAGTTCTGCTTGTAACTTCCATACAAATGCTGCGTCCTTTTTATGATCTTTTTGGGAATCTGGTCCGTGTGGTTAAGTACTGATTTGATTTGACTAACCCTCGTAACTGGCGAACTTCTTAAAGATGTGGCATTTTTAGTTGATGAAGGGGAAAGATGTGGCATTTTTTTCACAAGATATTCTCGTTTTACAACTAAAACTGCTAGCAAAGATGGTTCGTTTGCCACCCCCTTAAAGCGAACACTCGCCACGGAACATTTTCGTTTGATCAAGTCTCTTCTTGTAGTAGTCACAGAAAATGATCTGCTCTCCTCTTGCCTTTAGGACTCCTTTGGTTTGGAAATTTTTTGTAGGAATTTTATAGGAAAGGATTTTCAAAAGGAAAAAAAATCTTTTATAGTCCTTTGGTTTGTAAGAATAGAATCATATTTCTACGGAGGAATTGTTACCATCTTGCACATCTTAGGAAAACAAACATTAGCCTAGACTCAATGGAAAAAAATCCTATGATATGAACCAACAGACATCTATTTTTCTATTCCTATTCATAGGATTTAAAATACATGACATCTCAGTTCCTACAAGTTTCATATTCCTATGATATTTCGAAGAGGCCCGAATCCTCTTCAAGCCCCTCTAAACCGAACATGAAATATTTCCAACAATGAAGTCTTGCTGAACTGACAGCACGGTGTATTCAGGTGGAATAGCTGGAACCACTTCGGCTGCAAGATAGATGAGGTGATAATCCGAAAAATAGGTAAGGATGGTGCTCCCTTGCTCTCTCTTAGCCAGGAAAACCAAACCTTGCATTGCTGCAAAAAATAAATAAAACACATTGTGTTTGTGTAGCTGATGCCATGGTGGATACTGGTCTTGCGAAACTGGGATATGAGTATATCAACTTAGGTAATCGCTTCGCGTTTCTCGCTCGCTTTGGTTTTCCCCCTTTTCAACTCTTCATGTTTAGAAATGAGGCCTGCAATATTCACAGTGGATATATTTGTTTTGAAACTGCAGACGACTGTTGGGCATCTCATGACAGAGACTCCCAGGTGGGTGACTAGTAGTACATGTTAATAGAAGAGATGATATGTGTGTAAATAGAAAGAGCAAAACAAATTTTAAAATCCATTATTGATCCTCAGTCATGTGAAACCAGCATAAGCTTTTCAGCTGCAATGTTAGAATGGCGTATTTCCATAGGTTTCGTTCAGTCGTTAAAAAGACCGACTGTTATTTTACAGGGCAATCTAGCTGCAAATGGAACAGCATTTCCATCAGGAATGAGGGCCTTAGCAGATTATGTGCACGGGAAAGGGCTCAAACTTGGACTCTACGGCGATGCAGGGTATGCGCTTTATAGAGAACCCGCAGAAAATTAGCCAGTCAAAATGTTTCTAATATGACTGGGAACACGTGACAAGTCCCCCCAGTCCACATGGATCTCTCCCTTGCTTAAATCACACCACTCTCTCTTTTCAGACTGCGAACTTGCAGCAGACTGCAGCCCGGTTCGCTAGGATACGAAGACCAAGATGCGAGAACTTTGGCAGCTTGGGTAAACCAATTAAAATGTTCATTAGATCATCTAAAACTTACACATGTCGAGAATGGTTTTCCTGGTAGGGGTTCCAAAGCAGGAGAAAAACTGATTCTTCTAAATTGTTGTGTTACAAGGGGATTGACTACCTGAAGTATGACAACTGCAACAACCAAAACATCAGCCCACTAACAAGGTAACCTTTACAACTACATAACTTAGAAGCTTGTCAAATTTCATCCGGATTTAGATATTTTGACATATTCACAACAAAAATGCAGATATAACAGGATGAGTGAAGCCCTTATGAATTCTGGAAGGGACGTTTTCTTCTCCCTTTGCGAATGGTAACTGATTCTTGCTTTTCAACAGACCAAAAGGGAGGGTTCGAATTCCATTCATCTGTTTGAGAAAAAACAACAATGATGTGCAGGGGTGTGGATGATCCAGCGACATGGGCAGGCAGCTTTGCAAACAGCTGGAGGACAACAGAAGACATCAAGAACACATGGGAAAGGTGAACAAGTTTACATCCTGGAGAACTTTTACTGCCCCTTCCAAACTTCTGCAAAGTTTAGATGGAGATTCTAATTCCTATCCTGAAATACTACTGCAAATTGGGCAGCATGACGGACAACGCTGACAAGAACGACAAGTGGGCACCTTATGCAGGGCCTGGTGGATGGAATGGTTAGTCTCTGTAGGCCTATGATAAATTTTGATCATGCGCAAGTGTATAGGAAGACGGATGTAGGATCTGGGGTTTTTGTTCCCAACAATATTTTTTTTGTGCTTGTGATGACAATTCACAGTGATCTCTTTGAATGTTTCTGCTTCAGACCCAGACATGCTGGAAGTAGGAAACGGGGGGATGACAATAGAAGAGTACCGTTCTCATTTCAGCATATGGGCTCTAGTCAAGGTAATGATGAAGTGACTTTCATTGCATGAGAGATAAAAAAAAGTAAACCAACAGAACAGCATTGTTAGGCAAGAATTTTCACAAGATTATGTTGTTGATCTGGATTCAACTAGGCTCCTCTGATACTTGGCTGCGATATCAGCTCAATGAGCGCTGAAACCAAGGAAATCATCACCAATCAGAATGTCATTGCAGTTAATCAAGGTAGAGTCATTTCTCCAAAATGGTCATGTGAAAATTTAAAGATGGTACTAAGCTTTGCCGATTCATCATTAGACAAACTTGGGGTACAAGGGCGTAAAGTGCAACAAGATGGAGATCTAGAAGTAAGTAAAAGGAATATAACATAAGCTTTTTTATTTATAGTATCATGTAGTAGGCAAAAATCATAGTACCATGTTATGTTCAACACTTAGTATAATTCATCTATACTTGATTAACTTGGGCTTAGGTTTGGGCTGGTCGCTTAAGTCGAGGGAGAGTTGCTCTTGTGCTGTGGAACAGAGGGCCTGCTGAAGCATCTATTACTGCTAGTTGGAGCAACATTGGTCTAAACCAATCAGCTGTTGTAGATGCTCATGATCTGTGGACAGTAAGCACTTTGTCTAATCATATGAGCCTCATGGTTAAAACCACAAAACATTCTCTGATTTGCATACAAAACTGTTCTTCAACCCCCTTTTCCTGCGTGTGATTTTTTGTGCTTGCAGGATGAGGTTACATCATCAATGCAAGGAAACCTGACGAATAAGATGGATTCTCATGCTTGCAAGATGTATGTGTTGACCCCAAAATAGAACAGTATTCTCGACATTGCATATTACTATAAAATAATTATTTCAAAAGTCTCGAAAGATAACAATGTATTACCTTGGTATGTGTACATGCTGTGTCCAAACATTGATAGTGCTACATCCTATACCATGTCACATGTGTCCAGATTTAGTTATATGAATATTATAGATGTAACACCAAAAAACTTTAACAAAAGAAGAAGAAAATTCTACTGTAGTATTTCTATTATCTGACAACTTACAGGTTTCAGTGAAACATTTGCAAGTTCCAACATACATGTCACTAAATTTCAGTACCAAAGAAACTTATACAAAAGCATTGGCGAACGTACCTACGTCAATTCTGGCACTCCTAGGTTGGGCTCATTTTGCTCCCTTTCAACACCACACAATTTATATGATTATGATACAGTGGATGGACCATATTTCTGTAATTCTATAGGAGTATAGTCTCATCAGATACCAAATATCCTTATTGGCGATAGCACATTAAAACCCAGTCCATCCAGCTGGTTGGTAGGGTGCATCTTTCTCCACTTCAGCCTTCAGAGTGTTGAGGGACTGAGAAGCATTCCCCAAATTTGACATCTCAGAAGGCACGGTGCCAGAAGGTACAGCCTTAAAGCTATCTTGACCGAAGGCAAAGGGGACGGCACCAGAGTTTGCTTTTGACTGACTAAGCGAGCCGGTTTTGTTGCTTTGTGATGCCCTTAAAGTTCGGACCGACCTCGGGCGGGCACATTTTACAACTGCTTGAGCTTTCGGCTCTTCAGGAAAAGCGGACCATGGCTTGGGATCTGGGCTTGGTGTCCCTGGACTTGATGTAAATAGACCTTGCCGGAGCTCTGGTGGGGTTCCTGCAATCTTCTCCCTTGGCTGTGAAAAGTAATACATTACTGTATCAGCTAAGGTTCAGATTGTTTGCAGTAATGGGTAATTAGCTATGGAATTGGAAACACCGGGCTAGATCATTAATTCATTACAGGTTAAAACTTAAAACTATATGGTTTCACTTATGTATATGTTACGAATTTTTCCCTCTAGCCAGTTAATCTAGATATTATTGAGTACAGTGAGAAGATTAGTTAAGACATGTAGGAGTAATCATACCGGAGTGTCAAGGCTTGTGCTGGGTGGGGAGAATTCAGCCTTCAAATTTTCTTTCAACTCCTTAACTGGCGCTGGTGCAGAAGCTGTGGCTAGAGCTTGTTTAAGTTCCTGTATCTCCCGCCTCTGAGAGGAGCAAATGGCTGACAATCTATCAAACTTCAGTGAAATTTCTTCCTTCTCCAAGTTTGCTATCTTCAATTGCTCCTTGAGTAAAGTTACTTCGGCCTCCAGCTGTTGTTCTTTCAATTTACTTGTCGTGTTTAAACTGCCGGCATTGTCCTCTGAGCTCACCTTAACATTATCAAAGTCTGCCACAAAGGAGCTAAAAGTAGCAGTCTGTGCACTGGTTTTGTTATCTGGTTTAGTGTTTTGGGTTTTCTCTAGGCCATATTCTGAACCATTTGGAGAAAACCTTATTTCAAAATCCCCAGGAGAACTATCAACAGAAGCAGAAAGAGACTGTCTGTATGCATTCCGTGTCGTGTTCTGGTTCTTTGCCTGAGGTTGCTTTGTTATGCCATCATATATGGGCTCTTGATCTAGAACTGACCCCTTGTCATCCGCAAAAGCTAGTTCTTGTGCATGTTGAGTTGACCAAAATGCACCTGCAGAACCCTTACTCTCAACAGGAACTTGTGACCTCAAACTGGAAGGGCCTTTCGGAGGTGTACTTCTCACATTGTCTCTTGACCATGATGGAGAGGGTCCTGAAATACATTGTTTTCATTACGAAATAAATATAGCAGATGAAATTGTTCTCATATGGAACCAAAACCACTTAGACCTAGAGAAGAAAGATCCGATGAACTACTATAACAAAATGGCTTTTCCATGTCATTCTTGCACTATCTAAAAAAATGGTTTTTCCCTGGTATCCTTGCGTCCTACTCCCTCCATTCACTATTATAAGATGTTCTAACTTTTTTCTGAATCGGATGTATATAAACACGTTTTAGTGTGTTTGTTCACTCATGTCAATCCGTATGTAGTCCATATTGAAACATCCAAAACGTTTTACAATAGTGAACGGAGAGAATATATAACTAAATAGGTGATCCCCACTAATCTATTTCTCTTCACATGCAAACATGCCACCTCAGCATGCAACCATGCATGGGAGAAGGCCCACCTTAACACGCAACCATGCATGGAAATTTTCGTTCTATTATGATAGCTACACTTATATTCAATAAAAAAATCAACTATACAATACATTAAATCATATGTATTTTCAGTTTTAATTATCATATTATTGAACCAAATGTTTATGTTCCATAGTACAACCGAATCTCATGAAATATACTGCATCCAATTGCCTTTATCTAGTAGGTAAGCTTTCGCGTGTGCATTCCTTACATTTACTAATCTTTCTACACATAAACCTAAGAAGTAACATGCAAATAAGAAACCATGCTCACAGCAGCGGCTTCAATTCTTAAAAAGGGCAAAATCGCAGAAGCCAAACCTTCATCTTCAGTAGTTTGCAATTCAAATGCTGATCCAGATGGGGATCCATCAGGTAAATCCTTTTGCAGCTCCAAAGGAAGTAACTCATTAACACGAAACCATACCTATAACAGTACATGCATCAATGTTAGAGAACTGGAAGGCTAATTCGGCCACATGCACTAACTAAGACCAACCTAAATTCATGAAAGTGAATGGCCAATCAAGCAAAGCCCTTGCCTGTGTAATGTCTGGTCTGGCATCTGGAGAGGACTGAAGCATCTCTTCGATCAGACTTGTAATGGAAGAACAGTACTTCGGTAATTCAGGGATACGATAGTTCCCATTGAGGATCTGAAGCTTTGATTCTCCATCAAAAGCTGATTTTAAGTAGCAGATTCTATACATGAGACATCCAAGAGCCTAAAAAAATCAGTACCACCTTAGCTTATGCAGTTATTTAGAGTTAATCAGATACAACAAAGTAAAACACCGGTTCAAAGAACAAGATAGGTAATACAGGAAACAAAAAATAAATAGTGTAATGGCTGCAAAGATGGTTTACCCATATATCTACTTTCTCACTAATAACTTCCCTCCTGTATAAGTCCCACATCTGCAATCAGTAAACAAGCTTATATTAAGTAAATATGTGAAGGAACTGAGAAAGAGCTCATAAGTCATAATAGGTTGATTCAATCAAACCTCAGGAGCCCTATAAGCAGGAGTTGTATGTTTTCTGATGACATCTTCTTCAATGCCCCTCTCCTCTGGTTTATCAAAGCACTTATGGTTTGTTGATACACTACCAAAATCACATAATTTCCAAGCCCCGTCAGCACCAAGAAGCACATTTTCAGCCTTTAGGTCCCTGCGCATTGAATAGATTTGCTGTGATGCCTCTATAATGAAGATAGACGTAGCAATTTCTTGAAGGATCAGACTGAGAATGTTAAAAGAATAACATGTAATGATGAGTTATTCAATTGCAATCTACAGCCAACTGGAGTTTATAATGCACTAGATGAAGCAACGCAACCAAGACTGAGTGCAAAGCTATATGAAACAGCGTAGAATTATGCAAAACTAAAGCTGCCACATGATCGATGTTATTGACATACTTGCGTCCTGATAATTTAGCTCTTAACGATGTACATCAGAGAGCAATACAGTATTCTGATACAGATGAAACAATATGCTCAAGATAAGATAAAGTGACTAGCACATGATTTCCTGCTGCTTGTCATGGGACTAACTCTATCCGACAAAGCAATGGAGTTACATGCAAAACGTTCATTGCAAAAGCACCAACGACAGAGAACTGCTTCCCGTAGACATTTCACACAGCAATTCCATAGGTTGGGATATGAAAGGCAGACCTGTGAGCAACAGGTGGTGTCTGGCAGTGCATCGCGAAGACCGCATTGCAAACATCCCGGAAAATGAGAGCAACCTGCTCCTCATCATAGAACCCTGCAGTACCTCTAGTGTCCAAGGCAGAAACCAGCGATCTCTCGCAGAACTCCATCAGCAGAAGTGCCTCCCTCCCACGGCCCATATCCAGTATGGCATGCGCGACGAGAGTGACCACGTTCGGGTGCCCCTTGAGCGCCCTCATCACCGTGATCTCCTTCTGCACCAGGTCCAGCGACTCCTTGTCATGGACAATGACATGCTTGAGCGCGTACTGCTTCGCCGGGTTGGTCAGGTCTCGGGCGAGGTACACGCACGAGAAGCCACCCTCGGCAATGGCTTCCCGGACGTGCACTTTCACATTGCCGACATCGATGGTTCGGCCCTCGAGGCCGCCAGAAGGGCCGGAATGCTCTTTGGGCATGAGCTGCCTGAACGGTTTCCACATGATCTAATTAATTACTGATCCTCAGCCCTCACAAGTCAAAAGCGCCTGGTTCGGCCTCAGAAACCTCCTATGTGAAGTTTATCCACACTCAGCAAGGATTTCTCAGCATGGTAAAGCTTGAGAGCTACGAATCAACAGGGTCCGTCCAAGCGGCAGAACAGTGATCGGCGTCTCTCAAGATCTGCCTGTCTATCTAGCTTTGATACGGCAACTGCCGAATGGCCGTCCCTCCGAGCAGATCTACCTACCTGGCTTACCGCCGAACACCAAGGAAGAAGCCAGCGAGCAGCCTAGCTCAGCAGCCCCCGCTGCCGCCAAACAAACACCTTGTCTGCAATGGCCAGCCGACACGGCGAAGCAGCAATGGAAGAAGAGGAGATCGACCAAGTCAGCAGCAACCAATCAGTTCAACCCAAGAAACGACCAGACCCGGCCCGCTTGAAGCAGTCCGGGATCAAGAACTGGTCGTGGGCGGCCAGCCAGGAAGCGACCAACCCCCAACCCGGCCGCCTCACTCGGAGCAGCAGGTGTGGTAGGGCCCGGGACTCGCCAACTCCGATCTGGAGGCCCTGGGGGGTGGTATGTCTTTGGGGCTGGAGGGGTTGCCTGCTCGTAGGGGTTAGCGGCGGGCAGACCGGGAGCAGGAGGAAGAAGAAAAGAGGAAAGATTTGTTTGTTACGGCGGCGAGGCGAGGAAAGTGGGATTTCCGTCGCCGCGGGGACGCGTGGCGTGGAAGAAGACTTCCCAAGCACGTTCCGCGTTGAGTCGCTGGGGAAAAGGAAGGGACAGAGGCTGGTCAGTTGCACTGTCGCATCTGTGCTTCACAGTCACTTTCTTCTGTGTTTTCTTCCTCCTTTTGATAATATTTCTTTTCAAACAGAATCATATCTATTGTATAAAAGTTCACTGTATTAGAGTATCTCAAACATAATAAAAATTACATCGGAATTCCAACACCACCAAACAACCACTACTGTCGTCAGAACGAGCCGCCGACTCGTCTTTGTCGTCGCTCCCCTACCGGAGTCGGCTTGACCTTATCTATGACAGCCGGAAATTCTTCGTGCACATGGCCCAAGGGACCAGCGCTACGGAATCGCGGTCGTCGTCGTTGAACCCTTACATAGATCTGAAGTACCTGACACTAAATCCTGCCACATGACGAGAAACATGTCGGGTGCTCCGATCCTAAGTCACACCGATCTAACAAGTAAAACATCATATCACTTTATGGCTTCACGACGGCATGCCCATGGCCGAAGCCTTACCTTGGTCGGGACCGTTTGCGTCTTTTGACTCACGTATATGATTGTGTCGCTAGCATTCATATGGCAGAGAATCCGGACCGACATGACTAGTCGTAAACCAAAATCGCATAGACTTACAGGGACATGCATAGTGACCCAGCAAGGCACGTTTCGGTCAGCAGCGAGTGTAATCGAGTCGTAGCGAGGCTACAAAGGACTTCAGTAAACACTGTGTGACATTTCCTCGTAGGAACAAACACATGAGCAAAGAAGGACACATGTCGGCCAACCCATGTGTTCTGGATGGAAGCACTAGGAGGCATTTTCCCATAAGGAAGGCTACTCAGAATAAACAACTAGGTGTCGGATCCCACACATAGTAAAGCATTCCAATAACATACACATAATATACTTGATATGTATTGATACAACATGGCATCACAACATAACTCTACAACTTAAAGTATTTATTTGAAGTCATACATGGCATGATATTACAAACATGGGTCTCGTGACCCAACATAAAAAGTCATACAAGCAACAAGTGAAAACATAACCATTTTTAAGTACACACAACTACAAAGAAAAAGGGTGAGAAGGTTGACTATCTACAAGACCCTCCATAGGAACCAGACCTCTGTCTGGGATTCCCAAACTAATTGGTTAATGTCGAACTTGTGGTTGGAACGACTAATGAGACTAATGTCTTCTCTGTAAAACATAAGTTAAGCAAACGTGAGTACAAATGTACTCAACAAGACTTACATTAGAACTATCTACTTATGCATCAGTATCAACAATTGAGTTGTGGAGTTTAACTGCAGCAAGCCAGTTTTGAGTCGGTGGCTATCCATACTACGAATACCAGTATTTTTTTGGGTGGGAAAGCGCACACAAGTCCACATATTCACCATATCAATACACCACTATGGATCCGCTTCTGTCTCCCTATGAGAAGGCCATTCATAGCACTCACGCTTATCTTGCGCATTTTAGAGTATCCACTTTCAGTTATCTTTGAACCATATAAGCTTTCCAAGTAGTCCATATCCGAGAGTGCGGCTATTCGAAAAGATCATTTATAACCCTATAGGGGTGTACTTCTTCACAAACGCTCTCACCATTTATCGTCGTTTACACGACATGCACTCGGCAACTTTCAAGCGGAAGCCTAGCGAGGGTGTCAGCCATGATCTGACTAACCACACAAGTCTCTAGTCCAGATTTATCACCTATTTGAGTTTCATCCGTAAGGAAGTCCGGTCGAGGTTTCCACTACGGCCTCAAACGATGTGTGTAGGGTTCCCAAGCCCATCAAACGGGTGCCTCGGTACACTGTGCCACAGTGTCTATACCGCATCATAGCCCACCCCTACGATCAGTGCTACGCACGGCCTCCAACACATATCCTACAAACACCAGAAACTAGTTGCAACTCCTGGATAGAGATCAAGGCGATTAATAAGTCGAGAGGGTCCATGGGTTTTGGGCCCAATGTGTGGTAGCAACTATCTTGGATCACAAACACAGAACTCGGTTTCTGAGGACGGTCCCAATGAGACAACCCACCATATACTCCAACATGGCCTCTCATCGCTACCGTTATCAAATCGTGTTCACACACTTATGTCTCAACAGTAGGACATGTTCACCACCATCCCAATCCACCCTGATGAATCAGACCCGACACAACTCTAAGCAATAGCAGGCATGGCAAGCAAGCACGAATGAGTAGGCACATCATGGCTCAAACAACTCCTACTCATGCTAGTGGGTTTCTATTATTTTATTGTGGCAAAGACATGTCATGTAGAGGAATGGGTTCAACTGCCGCAACACGTAGCAGTTGAATCGTTGTTGTCCTAATGCAGTAAAAGAGAGCAAGAGCGAGAGAGTGGGATTGTATCAGAATGCTCAAAGAGGGTTTGCTTGCCTGGCACTTCTAAAGATAGTATAGCTCTTCATCGGTGTCAACGATCACAACATCGGAATCGTCTGCTACTGAGAGGGGACAAACACCGACAAACAAGAAGGAACACAATCAATGCAATGCAACAAACACGATGCGTGAATACAAATGCCACTATTTACAAGCATTTATTCTAGGGCTGTGATAAAACCCTAACCTCGCTGCCCCAAGGAGATGGCAGGAATCTATGACGAATCTTCGTTGACTACGTCCAAATGGACGAACTCAAGAGGATCAAAGCCCAAAAGACAAACTCAAAGAAGAGGTGCTGCCATCTGCCCGAGTGTCGCAACTGTGAGGACTAAAAACTCTAACCTAAGCTACTAAGCAGAACGGAGGCACAAAGATTCCCGTCCCCACCATCGGCCACCTGAGCGATAGGCAGAGTGGGGGGGGGGGTTGAATCCACGGGCTCCGTGAAAGTCTGGAGGGGAAAGTTTGCTCTAACCGCCTAGAGTTAGGGAACAAAACGAGGGAACTATTTTGGTGCGTCTCCTTTTCATAATATAGTGCTTATAGATTTAGAAAAATCAAACTTTAATCAAATTTAACGGGAAAATTATCTATAACTATAATACCAAACATATATCATCTCAAAAAAAATATTAAACATGTATAATATGAAAATATGTCTCACGATGTACCTATTGATATGGATTTGGCATTTTAGATGTTAATGTTATTTTCTACAACCTTGGTTAAAGTTTGTAAAATTTGAGTTCTAAACAGAATATGTGTGCACTACATTCTGAAGTGGAGGGAGTGAGGGTGTGGGCATGTGTAAGAGAAAAAGCACATCTTTTTTCACACACGCGCTCGTGCATGTGCGGTTCCCACATGTATCAACTCATTAAAAATTCAAAAAAGGGATGTGACGTATCGCTAACTCTCCTCTAGACGAGAACTAACTAAATCCCATCCAACTCGCATCATATTCTTCTTCTTTCCCCTCATCTTTCACTTTTATTTTGTCCTCTTTTTATTTTATTCTATCAAATACGCACACAGGTGTGCAACGCGCCGGTGGAAATATAGTTGTACACAGCCACCAGGCGTGCAATTACTGTTGTGCATAGAAGGACGGGTGTGCAACTATGGTTGCGCATGACCGGTTGACATGCGGTTTCGCGTAGCGGGCAGGCATGCAACTCCAGTCACGGGTATTGATAGACATGTCGTTGCAATTGTGTGCATGTGCATCGAGGTGTAACTGTAGTTGTGCAGTGTGCAGGAGCGTGCAGTTCCAGTTGCGCACGGCTAAATAAGCCAAAGGGTCGAAACATGGGAACATGATGGACAGATGTAAAGACAAGCACCCACCAAGCGGACAGCTTGGAGAAGATCACCCAGGGAACAAGATGATCATGTCAGCAAATGCTTAACGGGAAGAGGCCCTTACTAGACACTTGCTCTTGCTCTTGTAATGTGTTCTCGTAAGGAAGGACATGGTCACTAAGTCAATCTTCATCATCATCAATCCCCACCTTCTCCAAGGGCGCTCGCCCCAAACATTTCCTACTAAGCTGGGTTCAGCGGAACTCATCAAAGCCTCAGCCTCAAACATCGAGGGTGGGGCCACACTCTCCACCTCGCAAAAGCGTCCAATCATCAAGTGAATAGTGCCTCCCATATGCGGCATCAGAAGATCGTGAACACTAAGAGGTGAAGGAAATATGTTCTAGAGGCAATAATAATGTTATTATTTTATTTCCTTATATCATGATAAATGTTTATTATTCATGCTAGAATTGTATTATCCGGAAACATAATACTTGTGTGAATACATAGACAAACCAAACGTCACTACTATGCCTCTACTTGACTAGCTCGTTGATCAAAGATGGTTATGTTTCCTAGCCATAGACATGTGTTGTCATTTGATTAATGGGATCACATCATTAGGAGAATGATGTGATTGACATGACCCATTCCATTAGCTTAAGCACCCAATCGTTTAGTATGTTGCTATTGCTTTCTTCATGACTTATACATGTTCCTATGACTATGAGATTATGCAACTCCCGTTTACCGGAGGAACACTTTGTGTGCTACCAAACGTCACAACGTAACTGGGTGATTATAAATGAGCTCTACAGGTGTCTCCAAAGGTAAATGTTGGGTTGGCGTATTTCGAGATTAGGATTTGTCACTCCGATTGTCGGAGAGGTATCTCTGGGCCCTCTCGCTAATGCACATCACATAAGCCTTGCAAGCATTGCAACTAATGAGTTAGTTGCGAGATGATGTATTACGAAACGAGTAAAGAGACTTGCCGGTAACGAGATTGAACTAGGTATTGAGATACCGACGATCGAATCTCGGGCAAGTAACATACCGATGACAAAGGGAACAAAGTATGTTGTTATGCGGTCTGACCAATAAAGATCTTCGTAGAATATGTAGGAGCCAATATGAGCATCCAGGTTCCGCTATTGGTTATTGACCGGAGACGTGTCTCGGTCATGTCTACATTGTTCTCGAACCCGTAGGGTCCGCACGCTTAAGGTTTCGATGACAGTTATATTATGAGTTTATGCTTTTTGATGTACCGAAGTTTGTTCGGAGTCCCGGATGTGATCACGGACATGACGAGGAGTCTCGAAATGGTCGAGACATAAAGATTGATATATTGTAAGCCTATATTTGGATATCGAAAGTGTTCCGGGTGAAATCGGGATTTTACCGGAGTACCGGGAGGTTACCGGAACCCCCCGGGAGGTATATGGGCCTTAGTGGGCTTTAGTGGAAGAGAGGAGAGGTGGCCAGGGCTGGGCGGTGCGCCCCTCCCCCCTAGTCCGAATAGGACAAGGAGAGGGGGCGGCGCCCCCCTTCCTTCTCTCTCTCCTCTTTCCCCCTTCCCGAATCCTATTCCAACTAGGAAAGGGGGGAATCCTACTCCCGGTGGGAGTAGGACTCCTCTTGGCGCGCCCTCCTCCTGGCCGGCCGCAACCCCCCTTGATCCTTTATATACGGGGGCAGGGGCACCCCTAGACACACAAGTTGATCCACGTGATCATATTCTTAGACGTGTGCGGTGCCCCCTTCCACCATAATCCTCGATAATATTGTAGCAGTGCTTAGGCGAAGCCCTGCGACGGTAGTACATCAAGATCGTCACCACGCCGTCATGCTGACGGAACTCTTCCCCGACACTTTGCTGGATCAGAGTCCGGGGATCGTCATCGAGCTGAACATGTGCTAGAACTCGGAGGTGCCGTAGTTTCGGTGCTTGATCGGTCGGGCCATGAAGACGTACGACTACATCAACTGCGTTGTGCTAACGCTTCCGTTGTCGGTCTACAAGGGTACGTAGATCACACTCTCCCCTCTCGTTGCTATGCATCACCATGATCT